AAAGTCGCAGCTCGAAAGGAAGTCAATACTGGGAAAAGCTATTCTGAAAGAGAAGACGGCATGTCAAATGCAGAATCGGAACCGAAACTCTGTGGTGTAAACCAAGCTGCGAGCCGCTCCATCTTCGGTGGGTGCACAGCCCCCCCTGACTGGAGGAGAATGATGCACTAAAATGAAAGCGGGAAAGAGAAGTCCTGTGAGGAATAGCGGCAGTGCTGCACGGCTTGAAGCCACCTGATGGGCAAATGATGTCTCTGAAATGATGCCTTTTGCCAAAGTGGTTTCTTCACCATACAACACTTCTTTTCTTTTTTTTTTTACCGTTCACCTGTTTCCAGAAAGTTCACCAGAAAGAAAGACTTTTCCTGATGACTTTGTCTTTTCTACCTGTGACCCTTTTTCTAAAATTGATGTTTAAAGTTTCGTTTTTTAACCTTCTTGTGTCTTCCTGAAGCAGCTCCGGCGGGGGGGTCACCGACCCTGTAAACCGTTCTAAATGGATGCATTAGTCGATGCACTTGGTAACTTTGGCCCTGCCGAGCTGAATCCGAGTTTCATTAAAGGCAGCTGTTATAATTGACCCAGTAGTTGCAAACACAGCGCAGATGCTGCCGCTGCTGAGAGGAGTATGGGCGAATGTTGCGCATTTTAACCGTACAGGATCTTCACCACCTGGATGACTGAGCTGCCGGAGCGACACGCCCTTGAGATAGAAAGGTGAAACTTGAAACTTCGATTTTGGAGGAAAGAAAAAAAAACCTCAAAAAAAAAAATACCAAAATCCAAAATGGAAAGCAATTACAGGAAGTCTTTACTTGCGGTGAACAATATGAAAACACGAGAAGTGTAAAAAGGGTTTGGGAGGCGAACAAGCCCTTTAGGATGCCAACCACGACGCTAACTTTGAAATTCCTGCAAGGAGGAAGGAGAGCTGTTGGTAGAAACGATGGCTAGAATATATCGCCGAGGAAAAGAGCGGCTTGTCAGAAGTGGGATTTGAACCCACGCCTCCATCTGGAGACCAGAAATCCCCCAGCAGGGAAAGAGCGACGCTCTTGAGTCTGGCGCCTTAGACCACTCGGCCATCCTGACAGTAGCCGGCGACAGGGTCTAACGGGGACTGAGACATTCTAAAGAGAAATTAGGCGGCACAAGCTCTTTGCAGTGGAAATTGACAGCATGAGCGAGTGAGAGAGCGCTTTCAGGCAAACTGTGTTGAAACGGGTCCCCTGCAATTTACATCCCAGAGGTTAAAATGCGATTGAATAGAATCCAGTCGTGCC